AGAGGCACAAATAGACATAATTTGACACTGATAGACGGAAATTGGGATGCGTACACGCAGGTTGGGGCAGAGTGGCTTTGATATCAAAAATATCTTCGTGGATTGAAGATGATTTATAGATAAAGACATCCACACAATGTGTTGGTGAGTTTCTCTGTCGCGAATGTGTCTGAGTCTGACAGGGAGGGAGTGAGAGAGAGTGAAAGAGAGGGAGATGCATATAGAGAGGAGGAAGGGAGATGTAGGTATGAAGAGCGCAAGACAGCGAAATTAAATTTATGTTCAAACTGAACATACATACCTAGATAGCTAGATAGCTAGATAGCTAGCTAGATAGATAGATAGATAGAATGACAAAGATAGATGATTAGAGACTGAGATAGATAAATAGATAACTAGATAGATAGATAGAACCTGATATAGATAGAAAGATAGACAGTTAGATAGAATCTGATATATATATATATATATATATATATAGATAGATAGATAGATAGATAGATATATAGATAGATAGATTAGTAGAGACTTACATAGATAGAAAGATAGATAAAACCTGATAGATAGATAGATAGATAGATAGATAGATAGATAGATAGAACAGAAAGATAGATTATTAGAGACTGTGATAGATAGATAGATAGATAGATAGATAGATAGATAGATAGATAGATAGATAGATAGATGTGAAAAGCGCAATATGGAGGGAAATGTCCGATGACAAAAAAAAGCGAAATACATGCATTTTATACTCTTACACATAGGTATCAAGATCTCTATTTCTCTCTCTCTCTCTCTTTCTCTCTCTCTCTCTCTCTCTCTATATATATATATATATATATATATATATATTCATAATTGTAACATATCCCTGATATGTACGTACACACACATACACACACACAGATATATATATATATATATATATATATATATATATATATATATATATTTCTTAAATACCTATATATATATATATATATGTATCTTTTCTTAAATACCTGAATATGTGAGCGATCGGCGCTAGTTGAGTCTGATTAGGAATCACTTTGTTACCGATGCCCATTTGGTACAGTTGGTATGTCGTTCGCTTGACAACATAACTGTCAGGGTTTCGATACTTGGTGGTGGATGCTCACTGCTGATGAGTCCCCATTATAGGACGAAACTCCTCTATTTCCTGTTGAGGTTTCTATCAGGCTCAATAAATCAATTAAATTTATATATATATATTAAAATAATAAGAAAGAACAGTAAAATTTTTAATCCGGTGTTGTTAGCAACTTTTTTTAGTTTCAAAAAAACAGTGCCCGATATTATAATCATTTTCTTTTTTTTTTAAAAAATATGATTCCATCACGACACAGGCATTTCTATGTTTCAAAGCTGAAACTAAAGTTGTAAATTTAATTATAGAAGTTAAACTTAAAATCCAGAGTTACGTGCCATTGTCAACCGATGTTAGCAATAAATTTCTAAGAAATTTACTTAGTTTATACACGCAGACAATCTTAATATATTATTGTTAAATAAGAAATAGTTCAACACATTGTGTCCAAAAACGTGTTTTCCCAAAGGAAAACATTGTATAAGACATACATAACAAAAACTTATTTCTTATTTAACAGGTAAAATATTTAATCCTTGAAAATTGTTAAATGTATAGCCGAAAGCGCTCGGATAAAAAGAACATTCAGACAGTTTTTATATAATTTATCATCCAAAAAGAAAAAAACAATTATTAGATCGCATGAGAAATTGTATAAAAACTAAATAAAAGCACCTTGTCTAACGTATTCAATGAAATGTGCATGAAAAAAGGATTGCTGCCTAAATACACAAATATATATATATATATATATATATATATATATATATATATATATATATGTATATATATATATATATATATATATATATAGTATGGCTTATTTCGGGCTAAAGAACACAGAACTTAACTGCTGAATATGAATTTTGCACGCTGTGAATGATGAGCGGTTATAGCTTTCATCTGCTGACCGTGACACTATAAATCGACGGTAAAATGTCCGTAAACTTTCGATCTACCTGGTAATGGCAACATTACCAGTTTGAAAAGAAAATGAGCGTGATAAAACTGACGCATACCGCTTAAAGTTACGTTTCGTCTTCTTTCGTTTGTGGCCTGCTGAAGATATCTTCTTAAATACCTGGCGAAATCTGTATAGCGCAAAGGTGGGAGAAAAAAACAAGTTGTCAGTAAGATGGTTTGACATACAAGAATGAATGAGGAGGAGAAGGCACCAGACAGCAAGCAAACCAATTTACTTTTAATGTAAAACTTATTTTTAACTTCCTCAACACAAAAATATTGTGAGATAGATTTTTTCCTCGGCTATAAACCCCGACAAATTCTCTACCCACCACCGACTTTGTAGGTTCTCCTCAAGATCTACCTTAGAAAACCTGCGAGAGTATTTGCGCAGAAAAGAAAAAAAAATTATCTCAGCCGTTACACGCACATTTTCCGCTATATTTGGAAAGTAAATACCTTTTTTCCTACCTTTTTACTCACGCACATCAAAGTTTATTTTAAATAGCGATATCACTTCCTGACGACACGCGTTTAGCGTTTCATCTTCTGAAATAAATATTAAAATGTCTGACGTTAAATTTTACTTGGTGTTTTGGACGCATGCGTGCCTATGTGCGGAAATATTTGAGCCTCAGTACGCATGTGCGCTGCTAGCATTTGGTGCACAATTTATAAATTACGTATTCGTGTCTAGGTGTACATGGATATAAATCTAGAAGATTGTGATCTATTTATAAATGTCTAGAAACACATTTAAGTGCGCAGGTAACCATGTGAACATCCGTTATTGATTTGGTATATATGGCTATATAGATGTACGAGTGGGTGCATTTTTTAACAAAAGATTTTTTTTTTTGTGTTGGTTGTACACGGAAATATCTATCTGGTTAGTTATTTATCGATTGGGGTCTGTTTTCAACTATGTACTGACGAAGACATAAGAACATGTACATATATTTAAATCTAGTTACATCGACACACACACACACACACACACACACATATACCTTATTACTTTGCGACCTCGAAGGCGCAGATTCTTGGCGAAACAAATGCCAACACGTTCTCCTGAAATAATAAATAATAAAGCTTTCTCTGTAACAAAACATGGGCCAAGCAGTAATGTAATATTCGCCATGAAAAAAGGGAGAACATTCAAGATTTATTTTCGAAAAAAATGTAGTGCTTTCGATGATAGTAAATACGTGTCCCTTCAGGGCGGAAGCGACCTTGGCTCTTCACTTTCTGTTTCCTGTAACTCTTAAGTGTTCTCTTTTTGTTATTAATCCCAGACTCTGTTTTTTCATCTGCTTGCTCAAGCCCATTATGCCACACGTTGTTTCCCGTCCCTATTTAATCTATCCGTTCTGTGAGTATCATTTTTCCAAGCCCTCTTTCCCCAGAAATTTCTATTGCCTTTTCTTGATGTTAAGTTTTCTCTTTGTTTCCATTCTCTCTAAAACCTCATCGTTAATCACATGTTCGGCTCATGGTATCCTTAGAATCTTTCTGTAGAACCACAATTCTATTTCTTCGAGTCTCTTCTTCATCTTTGAGGAGATTGTCCAACATTCGCTGCCATACAGGAAGACAGATACAGTTTCCACTCTCTTAATATTCTTCATAGCTTTTGGAATGCGTTTTTGGCCATCTCAATACGTCTTCGAATCTCAATGTCCCACTTTCCGTTCTCTGTTAGAACACTTGCCAGATAATTAAATTTCTAGAACCTACTTGATTTTATTATCCTCGATAATTTGCATTTCGGGCTCATGTTTTTTGCTGATGAGCATGCATTCTGTCTTCTTGTGGTTAGTCCCTTCTTCTCGCTCTCCATTGCTAACTTCTGTAGGAGCTTTGGAGTTTCTTTTCCGTGTCTGCAATCAGCACGATGTCATCTGCATATCTAATATTGTTATCATTGTGGTCGTCAATGATAAATCATGGAATGATTTTTAGTTCTCTCAGACTCACCTCGGTGTATAGGTTGAATAAGTCCGGAGAGACGATGCATTCTTGTCTTATACCCCTTTCTATTTTTGTATATCTGCTTTATATTTTTTTATCCGTATGCAGGCAGTTTGATGCCAGTAGTATTTTTGATTATTCTATTTTTTTCCCTGAATATGTCCATGTTGCTGAGCAGGTGTACCCTATCTTTGTGGCGTACTTTCTCGAATGCCTTTGCTTGATCTATAAAATACACGTTTACTTTCTTCTGCATTAGTATTGCTCTTTTCGATAACATTCTGAGCATGAATATCACGTTCCTCGTAACGGTGTCTTTGATGATCCTGCCCTTTTCTTGTCCTTTCTCTGGCCTATTCATTAGAATCCGGATGGTTAGTTTTGTTATGTACCACTTTAGGCTGACGGTGGCGATCACATTTATTTGCGCCCGGTTTTTTTTTAGGTAGAGCTATGAAAATAGATCTGCTTAGATCTTTCGATTTAACCCCACATAGTAGATTTCATTTATTATTTCTGTAATCTTGTCTATTTCAAAATCGTCTAAGGCTGCCAGCATCTTCAAATTCCTTCTGGCCCTGCCGCTTTGTTTCTGCTCATTTTGGTTCGTGCAGCTTCCACTTCGGTTTTTAGCATCGGTTCATTCACTTTTCTGGTTCTCGCAAGGAAATTCATGACCGCGTGTCCATGACCAAGGCCACCCTTCAAGTTGGTGAACATCGGCTAATATTTGACCTGGAGAGGGATGTACGTCGACACATCTATTTTCCCAAAAAACATGCTACACATGACTGAATACCTTTCCAGATAATTGGAATGATCTCGTTAGATGCTCAGTCACTCAGTGACCCTAACATTCACACCGGTCATGGGAGTGGTGATAATATTTTGAGCAAAGTAGAATTTTTCCAGAATGCACCATAGCATCTTAGTAATATATGTAAAATAAAACAAGGCTAACGATCATATCACTTTGAAACACCGGTTCTTTGTACGATCACCGAAGTTAAGCAACGTCAAGCATAGTTAGTACATAGATGGGTGACCGCTCAGGAATAGCCTTTGCTGTAAGCTTGGATGTGCGATTGGCGTAATGGATAACGGCTCGGAATTATTAATCGCAGAGCCGAGTTCCAATTCCAGTCCTGTCTGATATATTAAATCCTTATAATCTAAAAAATATTCTTACAATCTAAAAATATTTTATGGCTGTAAATAATCTGCAAAAGTATCTGTCTATATTTCTGAGATGAGGCATTATGTACATTATTTACATTATTCGGACTATTGTCCTCATCTATGTCGCCATATTTAATACAACTTTTCGGCCGTTGTACGCGCCGGCCTTCTTCAGGTGGTTGGAATGTCGAACTGAACCCTTTATTTCGCTCACTGAGGTAGACTGTTCTAGTTCCACGGGCCATGTTTTAATGGATTTCAGTTATTAGTTATCTCCTATTAATTTCCCTCTAAAAGTTCTCCACTGCCTTAACCGGTATTGAACTCACAGTCTTTGGGTCTGTCACTGGATCTAACCAACGCCTTTATCCACTGTGCCATGCGTCCTGCAAAATGTTGATAAACCTTAAAAACCGAATCAATTAAGCAAAATATTACGACTGCATCTTACAACCTAGCGGCGAATTTTTAAACACATTTCGAAATCCATGTCAGACGTTGTCCACAGAATCTCGTAATGGAATTTTTTTTGAACATTCCAATTCGGTGTATGAAGAGACATTTTTGATAAGAAGATTTACAATTCAGTTGGTTTCTGAGACTACAAGAAAACTAGAAAAAAATATCAATAGAAAAATATATTTTACAGTTTTCTTTTAAGTTCCCTGTACCACTTCCTCTCCTTTATTGCACAAAACAACGAGTAACTTCTTCTTCTTCTTTTCCTTCTTCTTCTTCTTCTTCTTCTTCTTCTTTTCCTTCATCTTCTTCTTCTTCTTCTTCTTCTTCTCCTTCTTCTTCTTCTTCTTCTTCTTCTTCTTCTTCTTCTTTTCCTTCTTCTTCTTCTTCTTCTTCTTTTCCTTCTTTTCCTTCTTCTTTTCCTTCTTCTTCTTCTTCTTCTTCTTCTTTTCCTTCTTCTTCTTCTTCTTCTTTTCCTTCTTCTTCTTCTTTTCCTTCTTCTTCTTTTTCTTTCTTTCTTTCTTTCTTTCTTTCTTCTTCTTCTTCTTCTTCTTCTTCGTGCCACGTCTCTTCATAATGTACATGATCATGGCTCTCAACAACCTCGTATCACTTGTAGCCCCTAGCAGCGTTTATCTCTTCGCCAAGCCGCCTGCCCGGCAATCCCACTGTTTCATCTGATATTTAGCCCGCTGTTTTCCCTTATCCTTCCTCCCCATGACATGCAATCTGAGACTTACGTTCTCCAAATCCTCACTATTCATTATGTGTCCAGGTAATTTCAGCTCTTTTTTTCTTAATCCTGAATATAAAAAATATTAAACTTTGTTTCTTTACTTATATTTTTAAATGATTGATATGGCAGCCGAATTCCACAACGAAATAAACAAATCGCAAGTCCTAAATCGAAGATCAAGGGACAGAAAAAATATCGAAATCACGAATCGCAAGTCCAATGATACAAATCCCGATACACGTAAACGGTCAGAAATCCAAGATCCAAGCCGCTAGACGAGGTAGGAAAATAAACGACTTCGCAATTCGAGAAAACCAACCGCTTTTATCAACGGAACAATTTTTCCATTGGTCGATAAGCGGGACAGGACACACAATATTGGCATATCCGACATGCATTTAGGGCAACGGCTGCCACAGACTTGTTTTTATTTGTCATCCTTTCCTCGGCATAACGTACAAAACACATATGGTCTTTTTTCTCGGCCTAAACGACACAGAACTTAACTGCTGAATATGAATTTTGTACGCTGTAAATGGTGTGCGGTTTTAGTTTTCATCGGGTGTTACTGCTGACCGTGACACTGTAAATCGACGGTAAACATTTGATCTATCGGATAATGGCAACATTACCAGTTTGAAAAGAAAATGAGCGTGACAAAACCTGACGCATGCTGCTTAAGATTACGTTTCGTCTTCTTTCGTTAGTGGCCTGCTGAAGATATCTTCTTAAATACCTGTCGAAATCTGTATAGCGCAAAGGTGGGAGAAAAAACAAGTTGTCAGTAAGATCGTTTGACATACAAGAATGAATGAGGAGAAGGCGCTAGACAGCAAGCAAACCAATTTACTTTTAATGTAAAACTTATTTTTAAATTTCACAGCACAAAAATATTGTGAGATAGATTTTTTCCTCAGCTATAAGCCCCGACAAATTCTCTACCCACTAGCGACTTTGTAGGTTCTCCTCAAGATCTACCTGAGAAAACCTGCGAGAATATTGGCGCGGAAAAGAAGAAAAGACCTTATCTCAGCCGTTACACGCACATTCTCCGCTATATTTGGAAAGTAAATACCCTTTTCCCTACCTTTTTACTCACGTACATCAAAGTTTATTTTAAATAGCGATATCACTTCCTGACGACACGCGTTTAGTGTTTCATCTTCTGAAATAAATATTAAAATGTCTGACGAAGACACCAGCCACTTTTATCTACGGAACAATTTTTTCATTGGTCGACAAGCGGGTCAGGACACACAATATTGGCATATCCAACATGCATTTATGGCAACAACTGCCACTGACTTTTTTCTATTTTTGTCATCATTTCTTGAGCATATCGTACAGAATGCGTATGCCCTTTTTTTTCTCGGTAAGTAACTTTCTCTGTCGCATTTTGTTTCTATTTTCCTTAAGAATTGTTGCTTACATGCTCCATCCAATTAATTTGCAATATCCTTTTGTATAACCAGATTTTGTTACCTTCAGTTTTCTCTTCATTTGTGGCGAGATTGTCTAGCATTGTCTAGCATTGGTATCACATCACTTTTGTCTTTGCTTCTAACGAAGTTTTCCTTTATCTTAGTACTTTGCTTAGCTTTTGGAATACGCTTTACCATTCCTTTTATTCGCTCAAACCCGTAAAGTGGCTCACTCGCAGATTCCCTCTGCCTCTCCATCATTCTTTATGTCAGGAGCGTGTTAAATTTTCCAAGCCCTCTTTTCTCATTGCGTGCCCTGTATATGTCAACTGTCACTTTTTGATTCTAAATATAAGTGGTCTTCTAGTTCCCAATCTTTAGAACAGTCTCTATGCTAACATAGTCTGTCTATGGTACCGCACCCACCCACCCCATAATGAAATGCTATAAGGTTTGATTTGGTTTGGTCTGTTTTGTTTCACGGCCTTTCAACCTCAGTGGGTTATTTAATGCCGACAACTTTTTTTTCCTGGTAATATTTTTGTTTTGTCAAATATCTATTTCTGTTAACATTTTTTCCTCAAAAATGTATAGCTGGTAATATTCTTTTTTTCGAAAACGTATAGCTGTTCATATTATTTCACCATGCACCCCGAAAATAGTTTAACATTACTGCACACCACTGCAAATGATCTAATTGGAGGAAAAAACAGAAATCTTTTACACCCTGTCACTCTAGTAGGACTAAAATCATGGTATGGCGAAAGAAAGGAAACTAAAAGCGGTTGTTTCAATTAATTTTCACAAGGGTTTAGATTGGCAGCTATATTTAATCATTTTAGAATTGAAATTATTTTTCGTTTTCTGCTGACAGTTTTTTTTTTTTTTGCTTATGGAACTCTTTTCTGGCTTCTTGATTTCCAGTCCACTTTTTTTTAAATCCAATGTCAATCATCATCATCTGTCTCTTTGAAAATTGCTCTTCTGTTTTCCCCTAAATTTGATAATGATTTTTCTAAGGTTCTTTCATTTACAGTAACACGTTGTGTCTTAAAGGTTTATTGCCTTAACCGGGGTGAAATGAATTTTTAAAAAATTACTAAGATTTCTTAGGATTGTGTGAAAAGTATAGTCGATTAGATGCACAATATTATTGAATCAAAAATAATAGGAGTAGATAGGTTGTTTTTCGTCCGGTTCACACTCCTTCCCGGTCTTTGAAAAGGAATTAGAACCTTATCCATTGTTTCATTTTTAGGATGGGGTTGGCTGTTTCTTCTAAAGTCGATTTCAACTCTATACTTCTAACGTCGCCGCTTAAACTCTGAATGTTTTACTATATGTTTATTCTCAATAGGAGTCGATAGATTCACCTATCGTCCGGTTCACACTCCTCCCCGGTCTTTTGAGCAATATTATTTTCCTGTTTAACATTTAGTTTCTGGTTCCTTCTAATGTCTTTTTCATTCTCTTTCACTCTCAGTACCTCATTAAATCTTAGTGGAATTATCGCGTTACTTTAGATGAACTGATTAAATAGAAGAAAAATCCAATCTTGTTCATTGATTTCTTTCTATATAGCTGGTAAGAGGAAAATTCTTGCGTTACATTTGCTTGATAAGAATGGAAAGAGGCAAATTTCCAAAAGACAAACAAATGCGATATGTATAGATGTATATTCTATGTAGATATGTGCAATCATGCATAACTGGTGTAATATTTCTTTAAACGTATGTAAGAAGAACATATCGAAAATATACAACTAAAAAGTTAAAGTTATATATATATATATATATATATATATATATATATATATATAAAGAACAGTAAGATATATAATCCGGTGTTCTTATAGGTATTTTTTATTTTACAAAATAGTGCTCGATGTAAATTTACAGAGCATTAATATTATAAGTTAATTGATATGTTTTTTTCCGCGTCCTGATGGTCTGATCATCGCTTGAGGTGAAGAATTGACAGTTAACAATTTCTATATCTACTGTACATGTATATATATATATAGAGAGAGATAGAGATAGATAGATAATGTATGTGAGAAAGTAGATATCAATATGAAAGTAGATATAGAAATTGTTAACTGTCAATTTTTCACCTCAAGCGATGATCAGACCATCAGGACGCGGAAAAAAACATATTTTAAATCAATTAATTTATATAATATATATATATATATATATATATATATATATATATATATATATTAAAGAAAAACAGACCATGTAAGGTTCCATTATAATAATTTATTTCACCATAATT